CAGTGAAACCTATTACCCCTCCCCCCACCACTGCTAACTGAGTCACCCACCTTGGTATCGTTTTTTGTTGGCGCTGAAAGTTAAAACTTCATTCAGACTAATTCTGGGAGGACAGATCCTGTTAGTGTTACGTATTTTTCCATTTTTTTTTTTATTTTTTTTATTTTTAGGAACCACATTCTCTGCTATTTTTTTTCCATTTTTTTTTCAAATATATGCTACAACTATATTCATAAATTGCTGCCTGCTATAGAAACTTAGGAGACTTGCTTTGACGAACAGATAAGAATGACTTATATTTGCATACCAATGTTTTTGGTGGATAAGAAGTTGCTTCTTATCCATTTAAACAATATTTGAGCAAAGAGTGTTCTTCTATGTGGACCGAAAGTGTCCCCCGGAGTTGTGTTTGCCTTGGCACACTCTGCTTAGCAGCCGCCTCACTCCCAGGCCCCGTCCTTTTAATTAGTAACCTGTCACTGTATTTCAGTGTTTCCCTTGAGGCACACCACGGACCCACGGAAAGCTAAGACATAGCACTTCACGCAGAAATAAATATTTGCTGAACTTCTCGTATAATTGGACTGGTCAGGTGAACCGAAGCTGGGGGACCAGAAGTTGAACTTATGTGAAAGAACAGGAATCGGGGTGTTCAAGAGGGTGAAATGGCAAGGGGAAGAGGGCGGCATGGCACAGTTATAGGACCAAAAGGTGACTGCTGGCCACGTTAGACCACCACTTTTCCTGCCTTAAAGCCCCAGTGCTCCATAGCTGCCACCTGGCAGAGGTAGATACTTTGCATAGTTTTATTCGTGCAGTCAATCAACAAAAAATGATTAAATTCAAACACGTGCCCAGCATGTTTCCAGGCTCTAGGGATACAGCTGTGAGCAAGGTACCTGCCTTATTGATGTTTACATGCTGGTGGAGGAGAAAAACGAAACCAATAACAAATTACTAAATATAATTCAGGTTTTATAAGTAAGTGCCCATGAAAAAAATAAAGCAGGATTCGGACATAGTGACAAGTAAGGGGATGTGTGTGTGTGTGTGTGTGTGTGTGTGTGTTTCCTTTGGCTACTTTAGTTAGATTCATCAATGAGGACTGCTTGGAAGAAATATCATTAGAACAGACAGAAATGAATGGCACCCTCAGCTAAAACGAAACCAGGTGTCGCCATTACTGTGTAAGTGCTGTGGTTTGAATGTATGTGTCCCTACAAAATTCGCATGTGAGAGCTTAAACCCCAAGGTGATAATATTAAGAGGTGGGGCCTTTGGGGAAGTGATTAAGTTATGAAGGTTTCGCCCTCATGAATGGAGTTAATGCCCTTGAAAAAGAGGCTTCATTGAACACCATAGTTTTAGGCAAAAAAAAAAAGAAAAGAAAAGAAAAGAAAAAGAAAAAGAGGCTTCAGAGAGCTGCCTGGCCCTCCCACCCCTGCACCATGAGAGGACACAGGAGGAGGCACCATCTTGGAAGCAGAGCAGCCCTCACCAGACACCACATCCGCCAGTGCCTTAATCTTGGATGTCCAGCCAGTTAGGTTCTCGGTTTGGGGGTGCAAAATGTTTATTAGGGGTCAAACACTATAAAAGGAAGGGGAAAGAACCACTATCAGAAACAAATGTAAGTGATATGAAACCAATTAATATATAGGGCCAGCTAGTTCTGTTTTAATTTTAAAAAGCTCAAAATAATTGACTGCCACAGAAAGTATAGATAATTTTTAAACTCCATTTATACTCATTACACTTGTTTTCCCTTACCAGTTTATCAAGAGAATGATGCCGTTAGTTTATCTATTTTCATATTGATGGAGCATTATAATCTACAAATTGAAGGGAATTGTTAATGTCAAATAACTGCTCTATTTGCATCTTCTTCCATGAAAAGAAGTTATATTCTATAGAATTTAAGGTAAAGGGGGAAAAAAAAAAGGGAAGGAATTCAGATTGAGTAGAGGGAAAAGTTAGACTATCACACGCATCTGACAAAGCCCCAGCTAACACAATGTTGAGCTTTGGGGTGAATATTGCCCCACCAGGGTAGTCTTGCATTGGGTAGAACGGCTGGGACTTTGTCCCCCAGCCAGCTCCACCCTGGATAGGGGCTGTGGGCCAGGGGGCTCTCTGCAACTGCAGCAGACCCTCTAGGAGCAGGCAGCACGAGACAGCTGCTGATGGCATGTCCCACAGCTGGGGAGCAAGCCCTTCCTTGGAGGGGGACTCTGGACTGCAACATTTGTGTACCTACCACTCTACTCAGGTAACAGTGAAGAATGTGATGTGCCTATACCATTTTAGCTAATCCGTACATCTTGAAGGTCTTCAATTCCACCAACGAGAGTCCATTTCTAATATTCATTGTACTTATTAACAATTAACTAATTCAAACAATAAAAATCCATTTCTGACATTCACTATGCTAATTAACAAAGCCTCAGGTATTCCGTGAGACATCGATCAAAGACGCACTTGAAGTGGCTGCCTCTGGAGTGTCCTTTCTGATAAAGTACTAGCTCACTACCCTAGAGTAGAATTTTCCATTAAAGCAACTGAGTGCCCTTAGAGTAAAATCTTAAATGAAGCAGCACACAGGTAATATCACTGTCTCTACCTCGCTGAAGCATTTTAAAGTAAGTCTCAGACATCCAAGCAGCCCTCTTTTAGGTCTGCTTGTTTTTGGGGTCATAGGCGCTTATTCTCTGATCTTGTCTGATCGTCCTGTCTTGGGGATCATTTGGCTACAAGGGACAGAGACCCCCCAAACTAATTCCAGTTTAATGGGGGTTACTGTACATATCCAAGGATTCAGTAGGTGACCTCCAGGCACTGAGGTTGACAGTGTAGGCTCTTTGGCCACTCAGAGTGGAACTGGGTATTGGGAGCTCAGACTGTCCCTGTTTCTGTCATGGGGTCGCATGTTCTCCATCTGCATCTGCTCCTGTCTCCACTTCCTCTCTACCTTTTCCACTTCGTCAGCGCACTTCCCGGTCCCGATTCCACACAGCTGTTGAGTTGGAGCATCCACTGTCATTTAAACGTCTCCATGTCTCTTAGGTCCATGTCTTGAGAGCGACGAAAAGAGAAAACACGACGGGCACAGCCTGCCCGTGGCCTGGGGTCCCTTGGGTTAGGTGAGCGCCACGGTCCAGTCCTGTCTCTAGGAGTATAGTAAATGAGATACCTTCTTCATCCAAGAAGAGGATGAAGATGGGGGGTGGGAGGCTCTGACCAGCATCACACCCTGGTCCTACTTACTGCAAGAATAGTGTCTTGCCAAAAAATTCCCTGATGTGCACACTCCAGTGTGTGTGTGCAAAGGTACACACATGCACACTGTTTTTTCAATTAAGCCAATTCAAGAATTACTGCCAAAGGCTATATATTTAAATTATGATATATTTAGGTTATGATATTCAATTGTACACATAAGGTGGCTTCCTTGATTCAGCTCATAAAGAAATGTCTTGCTATCTTTGTCCGAGACTTCATCTGCTACAAATGTCACCTTCTCGGCTGTAACTCAGGAAGGTCTTAGTTGCCTTCCCCAGGGATGGCCACTTCCACCAACCTGGGTACCGCTCAGTAGCCGTCGCTAGGATGGTGCAGTGTGTCCCCCCCAGGCCACACATCATCAAAGGCTGTGAGTCCAGTAGCTCAAGACCGAAACTCCAAGGAGATTCTGGCTTCTATCCCAATTGTAGCAAGTAGACTACAGCAAAGGCCATCAGCCCAGGGATTTGACTCATGACAGCAAAGCTGTCCTCCAGCCTGAGTACATAGAAACCCACATTGTTCTCAATGTTTCCTTTCACGTTTGTTTGAATCACTTAGCATTTCCCAGGGACACTGGTGTGTCAACTAATCTTATCAGCCAGGCATCCTTAAGCAGGCAAGGCAATAAAGCAAGCAGAGCCCCGCGTCCTGTTTGCAGGAGCGGGTCCCTTCTGCCTGGGCAGAGACAGGGCAGCCCCTGCCCAGGCCTGGGGGAGGCTCTCGGATCCCAGGGGCCCTTTCTTCTTGCCTCCTGTTAACAGGGGCAGAGCGTTTGTTCCCTATGAGAAGAGATGCAGAAAGTAGAATCCCTCAGGCAGAGAGGAATGGAAACCTCAGAAAGGCTTGCTGCTCCTTCCTGGACTTCCTTTTGTGGGGTGAGAACAGGGGAGACCTGAGTAGAAATGTACTTTTACCCCTGTGCCCCTCCCCCTCCTCTCAAGTTAGGACGCCTAGAGAACTACTAACTTCAATGAATAATGCTATTTTTGCTAGAATATTCTCTCCCAAAAGCCTGTTGAAGAAATGCTCCAAACTGAGGGAACTGAATAAAAACGTTCTTCTTTTTGGTGGAGCTCAGTCTAACTGCCCTGGCAAGTTCCTTAGGCCAGCAGTACTGCCCCGTGCCCCCCGGCTGGGGCCCTTGACAACCGAGTCCCAGACACCGTGCCCTGTCTACAGCCTCCACCCAAGCCCCACCTCACCTCACTCTCCTTTTCTCACCTAGTTCTGATTTCCCGGGTGCCCACCCGCACTTCCCTGTGACGTGCAGCCTCACCTTCCCCTTCAAAGCTGAAGCTTTCAGCAGCTCTCAGGGAATTTCCCCTTACCTCAGTTTACACTCCCCCTGGGGATCATGCACTTCGGCTCCCCAGCGCTGCCTCGCTCCCGGAACCCCTGCCCTGCGACGGGACTGTGTGGCTGGCAGGGTCTCCCTCGGACCCTCAGATCAGGAGGTGCATGTGTACCTATCTTTCTAACGTGGGAGCCCCCAAAACACCGAGAAAGCTAGAAAGCTAGCCGGAACGGGAAGCACGCCGGAAGGCGGTAGAAAGGAGGCGCTCTGGCACGTGCTGCAAGCTGTGTGTTCCTGTCTCCAGACAGCGCCCCAAGCGCAGGAGCAGAAGGCTGGGACTCGGGAGTGTGACAGTGGTGCTTTTTAATCTCCACTCAGCCTGGTAGGCCAGGAAATGAGCCTTTGCTGTACTTGTTTTTCATGGGGGTGGGGGAGGGGACAACAGGCAGTTGTGGTTTTGGGCAATATGTGTTCGTAGCCCCTGGGGACAATGGGGCAGCCCTCAGTGGCTGGGACAAACATGGCCGGGGTGAAGTGTGGGCTCTTGTATGGCCCTTCTGCTGAGTGATGGTGGGAGAGCTGGAAAGTGGGGCCACTGGTATTCCAGGTGTGACCATCTCCATGACACTTGGGGTGCGATAATGTCAGCTAGAGCTGGCTTAGGCCGATTCCTCTGAGACTGGTGAGGCATTCACGTTCTGGTAGCCCTTCCCCTCCCACCCCCAGCTCGGCCATTTCCCTTAGGGGTCCTCTGGCCTGAGAGGCACTGGTCCGGGCTGATTCTGTCCTCTGCCTTCCCAGTTCCCTTTCCCAGGCCTTTCCCTAGGGACCCACCAGGGGTGGGGCTCCCACCTCCCCAAACAAAGCCCACAAAGCATTCATTCATTCTGCCTCCTTTTCCCACAGTCAGGCTGGATGGTTCATGGGCAAGTGCTGAGTGGCCCATTAGTGAGACCCCTGAGCTTAAAACACCAAAGAGCCTGTCCCCCGTCTCTGACAAGAGCATCCAGACCCCAGAAACACCTTCCATTCCTTCCTGCTGGCCAAACCCCTACCCACCCACCCTGCTCGGTGACCGACAGCGAGACTTCTTGTTATAGCGGCGAACAAACGAAAGAACAAAATAGAACCAGATTTAATTCTTATCTCTGTAGGTTCTTCCCCTATGCCTCAGCCACACCTACCTTTTTCCAGGTACTTTTCAATCCAGTGAATGTGGGAGTAGGAATAAGAGAGAAGAGATGGTAGGAGACAAGGTCACCATTCTATTAATGAGGACAAGTGTTATTATTTATTTTAAGTTAATTAATGTTTAAACTGATGACAATTGGTATATATTTATCATGTACATTTTGGACAGATGTGCTATCGGTGTGTGTAAGTGCTCTCTATAGTGCAACGACTGGGCACAGAGAGGCTGCCAGTGAGGTGGTTCTGCACCCAGACTGGAGCCAAATTGCCTGTGTTTGAATCCTGCTTCTATCACTTCCTATGTTTGTAACCTTGGGCAAGTTACTGCATTTTCCTTGGCCTCAGTTTCCTCATCTGTAAAATGGGGGAGATAGCTCTCTCATAGTGTTTCTGTGAGGATAGCAGAGTTAATCTATGTTAAGCATGTAGAACAGTGTCTGACACCGTTAGAAAGCACTGTATAAATGCTTGCCTTTATTGTTATAGATAGTGATGATATAATATTTCTGTTTCTGTCACTATATACTTGGTTGTCCTAGCTTATAAGTGGGGAACAAGTCTAATTTATAACTTATTTATAATGAATACCCAGCTACTTCCAAAAAAGATTTAAAGTGGCTGAATAATGACTGTAAGTGGAAAATTCATCAATTAGGGTCTTTGTAGGCCTTGGGTAAAGAATAATAATTTTTAACTCAAGGGGAAAACAGCCCTTTTTTCTGTTTGTTTGTTTACACTTGTGGTGTAGTGGAACACATCCATCAACAGGGAGACTTTGACTATAATAATGAAGTGCTGTGGGTGTGCGGTAACTCTTTGTGGAATGCAGGAATACCACTGTGAGCACCTACTGTGTGTCAGAACTAGAAACTTCACACAGACAAAACCCCTTCTGGTCCTCATGATGAGTTCTGCAATGGAGAGGCACTATTTTCCCCACTTTTCAGATGAGGAAGCAGGATCCGGGAGCTTAAGTAATCCGCCCAGAGTCACAGAGCTAGTGCTTGGGGGAGCAGGGCTCAAGGCCAAGTCCAATGCCAAAGCCCTCGTGCTTCCTGCTGTGCCAGCACCTGCCTTGTGATTGGACAGGGCTCTGGACCACCTCAGCCTCGGGTTCTGCGGAAGAAAAATGAGAGTAACTGGCAGCTCCTGGCTCTTCGCATCTGGATGAGGAAGCATAAAGGCATTGCCCAAATACGAAGCAGTTGAACCCGATAGCAAGCCTTTTAAGCACATGGAATTCGTATCAATTTTTGACAAGCAATAGAGGCTGTAAACAATGAGCCTGACCTTAATTCAAACACTAAGTGATTATGTTTGACAAAGAAATGTAAACACGGCTTTAATTGATTCATGTGCTTACAACTGGTGTTTCGTTTGTTATTGTCTTCTCTGTAATAGCCTCCATCTGGGCCTGGGCTGCTACGCAGAGCCTCTGCCACTGGTTTGAGCCCGGGGACGACATTCCTTCATTGACTCATTCACTTATCGAACCAGTTTGTGGTGTTGTGGCTTGCATTGAGCTGCAGACGTGGCCCCTGCCCTCCCGGAGCTCACAGTCAGAGGGGCTGCAAACAAATCGCCTCAGGAAGAAGTTCGTAGTGAAAACGTGTGGAAAAAACCGTGAATAGAGAGGGAAGGAGGGTGGTCGAGGGAGAATGACCACAAGTGGGGGGATGGTCAAGGAAGGTCTCTCTGAAGTAGGATCTGCAAGTTGAAAAGGAGCCAGTCATGAGGACGTAGGGGACAGGACGGCCCAGACAGAGGAAACAGTGCGTGCAAAGGCCCTGGGCTTGGTGGCCCTGAGGAGATACAGGCCAGGGTAAGTGGAGGGAGTGGAGGTGGGGCTGAGTTGTTTGGGATGGGGTAGTTAATAGAGAATGTAGGAAAAATAGAAATACCTTAATATTGGGGGATATAATTATTAAAATATAGACCATAGGATTATCCACAAGAAAAATGACCCAGTTTAACAACAAATAACAAATAATTTATAAGGGGAAAAAAAGGTGGAGGGGAAACCTATAGATTAAGGGAATTGAGAAGTCGAACCAAGGGTGTGAAGAAAGGCACTGAGCCCTCATACGTAGTTGGAAGGGGGCAAACTGGTCTTACTGGCAGGGACAGCCGTCCTGCAGTGAGGGGCCACTGTGCTGAATCAGTGGACATGCCCCACCATCCTCAGGCATGTCATTCCTTTGCACGCTAAACGGTTTCTGTTACAGATTGAATCGTGTCCCTGCAAAAGTTATGTTGACGTCCTAACCCCCCATACCTCACCTCAGTGAGGTACGACTGTGTTGGGCAGGCTTTTCCAGAAAAACAGAACCAGCAGGAGAGATAGATGGATATTTATTTTAAGGAATTGGCTCATGTGATCGGGGAAGCTTGGCAAGTCCCAAATCTGCAGGGTGGGCAAGAGGCTGGAGACCCGAGCAAGAGCTGACATTGCAGTTTGAGTCCAAAGACAGTGCGCTGGCAGCATTCCTTCTCGCTCAGGGAAGGGCAGTCTTTGCTCTGTTAAGGGCGTCAACGGATTGGGTGAGGCCTACCCCCATTATGGAGGGTAATCTGCTTTACTTAAAGTCTGCTGACTTAAATATTGGTGTCATGTAAAAAAATACCTTCACAGAAACATCTACAATAATATTTGACCAAATATCTGGGTACCATGGTCCAGCCAAGGTGACACGTAAAATTGTCCATCACAGTGACCTTATTTGCACACGTAAGTTAACGTGCACACATTATGGTTGGCATAATCCAATGTGACAGATGTCCTTACAAAAAGGGACGTTTGGACACAGAGACAGACACGCACACAGGGAGAGCTCCCTGTGAAGGCGAAGGCGGAGATCAGTGTGATGTCCGCAAGCCACCCGGAGCTGGGGGACAGGCGTGGAACACATTCTCCTCACAGCCTTGAAGAGGAGTCAGCCCTGCTGGCACCTTGATCTCAGACGTCCTTAAGAACTATGAGACGGCAAATTTCTGTTGGGTAAGCCACCTGGTTTGTAGTATTCTGTTACAGTAGCCGTGGCAAACTAATCCAGCTTCCCGTAATCCAAACAGTGCGGAAACAGAGTGCTGAGATGCCAAAGCCCTGGGCTTCAAAGGTATTAACCAGGCGTAGACCTAGGAAAAATCTAAGAGATGAGAGCAGGCAGCGCCCCTTCCTCCCTGCCTCCCCTTCCTCTGCATCCTGCCTCCCTTCCAGCCAACAGACACAGCCCTCAACCTGCGCAGAGAGAGGGGGGCTGAAGTGGGCATAGGAGGTAGATGCGTATGGAAGTCGTGCATCCTTCCAACCCCCAGCAGCAGGGAACTCACAGATGTGGCGTGCCTGGTGAGGGCACACAGAGGAACGCCTCCAAATGAGAGGACGTGAACATGAAAGGACCTGTGCTTTGCTTCCTAGATGAACTCCAGGGAGGCTAGGTCTGATCCATCCTTGTGCAGTAACAGTCTGTAGAAATGCCAGCCATGGTGGGACGCACAGGGCCAGAGGCTAGCCTGAGTTTCCTGTACCCCTAGAGGGGTGTGGCAGCCATCTGAAAGTGCCCAAGGCTCCTGAATGAGGCACAAAGGATAGCTAGGGCTGGGCCGTGGCTCGCACCTGTAATCCCAGCTACTTGTAAGGCTGAGGCAGGGAGATCACTTGAGCTCGGGAGTTTGAGACCAACCTGAGCAAAAGTGAGGCCTCTGTGTCTGCAAAAAATAGGAAAAATTAGCTGGGCAAGGTGGCACGTACCTCTAGTCCCAGCTGCTTGGAAGGGGGATCACTTGAGCCCAGGAATTGGAAGTTGTAGTGAGCTATGATGGTGCCACTGCACTCTAGCCCCAGTGACAGAGTCAGACTTTGTCTTTAAAAAAAAAAAAAGAGCTATCAGGGAGAGAGCAAGCTTGTGGATCCTAGAGACCAGAATGTGGGGACCCCACATTGGACGTGTGCAGCCCATGGTCAAGACTGCAGGAAGCCTAGGAGAGTGTCCCAGAGACTAGCAGGTCTCCAAGGCAGGGTGGCATGTGTCACAAGCAGCAGGCCAGCACAGCAGCATGAAGGAAGGGCCTTATCCTCCCTCTCCTACCCTTGACATCATAATGGCGAATGGGAATCCAGCAGGACATCAGGGTCAACCTCGGAAATGTGGAGAAAGAAGATGAAGAAAATCTTAACTGTGACTCAGTTTTAAAACCAGAATGCCTGGGAAGTCACTGAATTTGACTGGTGTACCTAAAAATAGCTAGATTAAGCTTTCTGCATCAGTTCAAATGAAAGCTTAAGATGAAAAGTAAGCCCAGAAACAGGAAAAATCAAGTTATCTTTTGCCCACCTGAATCTGTGCTTTGTGAACTTAATATTTGTTACATTATTTGCTATTATTTTTTAAATGCCAACTTTTTACCAAAAAGTTTATATCATTAACCAATGATTTTTAGGACATATATATGTATATATCTAAAACTATTCCCATTTTATAAAATCAGAAAGATTAAATTAGCTGCTCAAGGTCACCCTGCTAGTATCAGCACAGCCAGGGTTTGATTCTGTACCTATATGACTTGAAACACACACATTCTTGGGATTGGAGGGAATTTGCCCAGTACAGTATTTGTGCCTTTGAATTTTAAACCACGTGACAGGAGACCAGCATTGTGCTTCCTCGCAGAAGCCGGACTCAGGACACCTGCCCAGATCTTCCCCTTCTCAGCTACCCTGAACAGTGTGTCATCACTTTGCTTTCTCACGGTCATTTCTGTGATCTTGGCTTCAGTTTCTTCTCATCAGCCTGTTCTGTGCTGTCTGGCTGGAAGACTTTTCTGGAAGACAACAGGGCCAGAGGCTAGCCTGAGTTTCCTGTACCCCTAGAGGGGTGTGGCAGCCATCTGAAAGTGCCCAAGGCTCCTGAATGAGGCACAAAGGAT